TTTTGCGGAGATCTTAATTTACATTAGTTTTGTGGTGCTCAACAAAGGCCAAATATTCACAAGCTACCTCGTGGTTGTTTGGGTTGCAGTCTGTCTGGGGATCGTGGCTAGAGATTCCGATTCGTGGGGTAAAGAGAGATTTGGTGATAAGTGGCCTTCGAATAGATGGAAAATTTTTCCCGGCGTTTATTAAAACCATATCTATATGCACTTTTTTTCAAAAAAAATTTGCCAGCAACTATAGTCAAGCAAAGGACTGTCATATTTTGAGAACGGTTGATGAGAAAATTATGGATTGGGTTTGTCAAAAAAAATCCACTTTTTATTGATATATCTACCGACCAATAATAGAAAATAGTTGTTGTATTATTTCATATTGATAAATAATAAATATTAACGATAATAAAGTCATTCGAAAAAAAATCATTGACAATTTCATTTGGTAAACATTATGATCAAGTGTAAATTCATAATATAATATAATAAAAAAGACAATTTAATAAAAATCATTAATTTTTATTTCATGTTGGCAGATTTTATTGTTAATTATAGTAAGAAACCCATTGTGAATTATTTCACGTTTTACATATTATTTATCATAATAATGTTACAGTGTAGATAATAAAAACAAAAAAAATCAATATAGCAAATGATTTGCTATTTATAATAAAAATTTGCAATCTCAAAATATAAGAATTAATGTTGTATTCAATAATAATACTATTTATTTAAATACAAGAAATTTAAAAATTATTGAAAAATAATATGTGAATTATATTTTTAAAATAAAAAAATAATAATTTATTTCACAAAAATACTTATTTATACAAAAAGAAATACTACCTAAAAAAATACTTTACAGTTTACTCCAATAATAACAACCTCTTTAGATATCCAGGTTGCCCAATTAATAAATCATCTCATGGCTTCTGCTAAATAATATTTACAAATACAATCATATTGTTATTATAGATATTTTTTTATCTATTTAACAATTCCAAATATTTATTATTAAATATAATTGATGATATCTTTATCATATTCAATTATATAAAAGCAATATATAGTAATTATTAATAACATAAAAGTAAAATTTTTTAATTTGTGTTTATCTTTAAGTAATACTCTGCTTGCAATATTTGATATTATTCAATAGAACCCTTACTATAGCACTTCAATAGCTTAAAGAATAAATTAGCACATGTAACAAAAATCTATTGACATTACATATATCAAATTCAAATCCAAACCAGTAATACTGGGTCACGTGATGTGACCATCCATCGATGATGGACCCCCCAACCCCATCTCGTTTGAGATGATGTAATAACAATATTAGAACTAAAGGTATATATATAAATTATGCTAGAGTCCCTCTAGCAGGGGGCTACGCCACCCCTGCTACAAAGCAACATAGTCTCGCTT